ACCGCACTGTAGAAGTGATGTACAATATTATCCTAATGTCAAGAACGGTGTTTGAAATGATGAAATTACAGGTAAATGTAGTCAGCTGACCTTAGTTTCGTGAACGTTGCCGATTTGGCTTTCACTTATATTCGGTTCATGTCACTATTTCGATCTTCTGTGACCAACTGAAGGCTACAACAAGAGACTCTGATGCTTACAGGGTAATCGCTTATAATGTGTATGTATGTGTTTAATACGCATCTAAATCCAGACTGTGCCAAACAAATCACGGTACAAAAATCTTTATCAAAAAGAAAAGATTCCATAATTTGCTCGGGGTCACGATACTGCTAGGGTGCCTAGGACAAAGCAGGTGACTTTTCTTAAGGAGTTGGCAACCGGAGCCTTCGGCTAGCCAAAGTCTAACTCGCAACGCAGCGGGGCATTGTGTGAAAGCCGCAATCCACTGGGAGATGGTGTCCAGTTCATCGATCATACACCCGTTGGACGGGGTCAAGCGTTCAATACACCTTGATTTCTGATGAAGCCGGTGACCATTACTATGACCAGTAAGGTGTTTGCGTGGTTCGTACGACTCTTAGTTGGTTTGAAATCAGGGTTTTATCTAATTTCCCTCGCTTGTAAGCCCATCCTCCTCTCTCTATTGGGAACGTAAATTAAGGCCAGTGTTAAACAATTGATGTCGAAATGCACTATGGCAGATGAAGGTTTTTCGGTCGACCGACAGTTGCTGGAAAGGTCACTTGGAGTAGGAGATACACCGGTTTCACTTGTGCTTAACATAGTAGAGTATTATCGTGGGGATTGACAAAGCAAAGTTTCGCCTACAATTTATATAGGTGTTAAAAATGATGTCCGGAGGTTGAAAATGCAGTGGTGCACAAACAGAATTCGTTTATTGACATTTCGATGTAGCTGGGGTTCAGTTACAGTGTAGTGCGCTATCTCATTATGAACGGAGAATGATTTGGTTTTCATCTATGGAACTAATGTCCTTGGACGTGTGGGTCGCGTTGAGTTTCCCGATTGGGTATCTCGAGATCAGTCTGATTCATGTTTAAAATCATTGAGGGATATGACTGACTGTAGTGATACTTGTGCATCTACTGTTTTCTTTTCGAAAGTTTATTGAAGTTGTATTCTGTATCTTGAACCCGGTACAGTACCTAGATTTCTCCTTGTTCCCTCTACTTCATCCAAATTGACATAAAATACAGTATCCCAAATCGCCGTACGAAAAAGAAAGGTTAGTACTTATATGAACTGAAGTAGACGTGGAGATACTGAATAATCAGTTGACGGCTTTGCCATAGAATGGAGACCAACCTCTAACCAAGGGGACCATAACGCTGCACTTTTGATTCATTGATCTACACTGTTATTTCGCTGTTAAACACTGATACATCGTCTAGTCCAAGTGACCCTTTCAGCAACTGTCGGTCGTCCGAGAAACCACCCCCTCGTAGTCCATTTTGATCGCAATTATCTAATGCTCATCCTAATTTACAACAGAGAGAGACTCGTATTAAGGATGTTGAGCTTACACGCGATTACTTTGTAAGCATCGAAATCTTGTTGTAGCATTCTGTTGATCACAAAAGATCAATGACTACCGGGGAAACAAACCCCTCTGAAAGCCTCCGAATGGACGGGGATGAGTGTTTCAGGTTGTGGCTGGTCACCCTTCTCTTGAACCGTGTGAAATGTTACTATACGGTCAAGCGTCTCAAATAGCCTCTTCCGAATAAACCCTACTCACTACCTCTCTGTGGCGGTGTTTTCCCACCATGGTGAGAGGATGAAAGACCGATATCCGGGGCTATAACCGGGTTAGTGGACCAGTGGTATTTCACCTAGGGGAGTTGGCCGAAAACCCTGATTCCAAACCAACCAAGAGGCGTCCGAACCACACGCCTTCCCGGTTGTGGCGGTAGTCACTGGCTCGATTGGGTATCGAGGTATANNNNAAGTGATCTAGCACAAGATGGACGGGGATTGGGCCTAAATGGAGTGAGGCACCGTTGTTTCGGCAGCACTGCCTAAATTCCGTACAAAAGTACTACATTCTGATCAACCTTAAAGAAGCTGTTTCACTTTTCAATTTACATCTACAACTTACCATTTCCTGACCGTCCCCTAGGTTTTGGGACTTACGACAACCCCAGCCCATTATGAACTTGGATTTACCGGAACGTGTCTATTGTGCGGATGTACACTATCCACTAGCAATTGTTGGTTTGGCAAATCGTCAAGTGATTGCATACAATTTGGAAAATGGTCCCACTGAATTCACTCGAATCGAATCACCACTTAAATTCCAGGTGAGTCATCACTGTTACCCGAATAGTTTTCACTTCGTGGATAAACTCAGATAACATTTGCACCGGTCCATCTTTCGATTTCACAAACACGCCGACCTAACCGTTGCCTCACCACATCATCTTTTTTACAACGGACTACTTTTTGTTATTTCCTGGTTACCGTTTCCAGAGCCGCTGTGTATCCATTTTCCTGGACAAACAAAAGCAACAACCGAATGGATTCGCATTGGGTAGCATTGAAGGTCGTGTTGCAATTCAGTATTTCAGCCCCACCACACCGAAGGAAAACTTTACCTTCAAATGCCATCGGTCCAGTGCTGCTGTGAACGGTTACCACGAGATATACGCAGTAAGTTCGCTTTTTTCTATTCACTGGGCCTGTTTTTCCGGTGGTTTTTTTGACATTTGTGTAGGAAGTGCAGCTGCATCCTCGCTCACCTTAATGTTATACCTGCCTTATTAAAGCCTTTCTATGCTTCTCCGGTTAAATTCCCAGAGTTACGTGTTCTCCTAACCAGAAAATAGGCTCTTGTGACCATGGGATTTATCTCTTTTTAGGACAACATATATTACAATAATACCTCAGTCATTCTGTTCTACTTCCAAGGTGGTTGCGTTTAACGAGGCTGAACTAGTAGAATCTGTTTTTGAGGTAGCTGTTTTTATTGCCCCTTTCTGTGTGATGAACAGCAGGTGGGGTAAACCCCATAGTCACGAGGAACTGCTGTTCAGTGATAGAAACCGGTAACCTAATCCCCGGGACTTGGGTTGGTGAACCACATAAGGCCCCGCTGGGTTCGGCGTGACATTGAACTGGACTACAGCTGTCTATAATGTGGCCTGTGTTGGAGCTTGGTATTATCCATTGCACTCGTGTTTCTTGTCTAAGCTCTCTGGTTTTTCTCTTGTCATTTACCAATCCAATACAAGTAACGGTGACTAATAGAACTTGCTCATCACGATGCGCTCAGGCGAAAGGCTTTTTGAAAATTGTGCTCTGAGCAAGAGCTCATATTCTTCCAGTTCACCCAGATACACTTATGCATACGTACATACAAACACACACAAAGAAGGAGGGTCAAGTGTAGTGAATTTTCAGTGTACCATCAAACTCTTTAATGATCTCACTTACGCCTATTTTATTTGAGTCCGTACTCCTGATTAAACGAAAAAGATTTCGATTCCTACCGATAGCCACAAACTTCTCCATCTATTTACACTTTTCGCGGTCATTCCTCAGGCTCTTAATGAACCGGCGTTTAAGGGATTTGCGCGCTGTGTCAAATTTGGCATCTGAAGGAATTTTTCTGCGACAGTGTAGCATGGCGACCAAGGTTAAGAGGATCCACCATTTGTGCTTTGATCGTGCACCAAAACCCACGGTTTTTTTTTTATCAACATTTGGCTTTCTTAATTAACGTCCAGTTGGTTGTTGAACTGAGAAACAGTGACAGTTGTGCTTCGAAGGGTGATTTGTAACCATCGCTTACCTTGTCTTGTGAATCTCCGTTTCCAACGACTTTTTACAGTTTTAGGAAGAATGTGGCTCCTAACGAAGCATGGTCCGCCTCCGCGGGTGTTGACCAGTGAGAAATGTAGCCTTCCATAGGTCCTTGTCAGCGGCATCTGATTGCGATGAGAATGAAGTCACATCCGAGAACGCAAAGTCTCAGGGACACCACATACGTCCAAATGGAAAGTTTCAAGGGTTCTAGCTAAGGCAGCCTGTTGGCCGATCTAATAGCTTGCGGACATTAGATGCAGCTAAATGAAAAGGCCCTTGGGTTTTTCAGAATGTTGTTCACTGGTGCATTGATTGATTGCTCTGGTTGAGAATCTAAGCGAATCAAGTAGTATCCACTAGCATTACAGTTTGCGATACTTGTATCACGTATCTCCTTCAGACGTTCAGGATCGTTCCTTAGCCTTACGCAACCAATGAAACAGACGGAACGTGAAGGGGAAAGCACCTTACTAACCGGGGGCTGCCAAACTTGGGCTGGCGGCAGCTATCCAGTGGAGTGCGAAATTACCGAGGTACCCCGCTCCTATGCCCATCTAGCGAGGAGGGTTGACCGATAAACTGCTCTTCGCCGTGTTTATTTGCTAAAGTGGTCAATCAAAGGAAGCCAAGAGGTGCCTCCAAAACTGGCTCTATCTGTCCTCTACCCACTGACCCTTCAGACAATTTGATCTACAGTTGTGAGGAGCTTTCTGGTATATATGGCTCGCAGGGTCATAGAGGCATGCAAGTCATCACTCCACGTCAAGTTGTAGTCTCGTCCTGATAGATCCCAATGTAAAAGGGATTACTCTAACCTTGAATTTTGGTAACAGACGATGGTGTGATTATTTCACAAGGAGAAAGTTTGCGAGATAATTATTTTTTCGTGGATCCACGTTTTTACCGACGATCCTGTTGAAGCATAAAGCGCGATGCACTTATTTTGTCAAGTTGAATGTATCGATCATTTTAAACGCGTTATATGGGATCTTGTCACCACCAGCCGGGAGGCGGTGCCTCACAAATCAGTTATCCCTGGAGAAAAAATTATATTCTAAACAAACTGACCTATCGCATTGACCGGTGAATGTTTTTTCTCGCAATCTTTGTCTGTCCTCACAAAAATGTTTTGACAAACAAAATATATAGAAAAGTATGAAAAACTTGACTTGATTAACCCAACTTGCAAAGAGTGACGGCCACATAAAAACAGCGATACATTGGTCCCTGAATTCGCGTGGAATAGAGCGTGTACATTTAGTTCTGGTTGCCCAGACTATTTTCACTTCTACCACCATTAACTATGTAATTGCTCTTTCGGTTGTTGAGAATCTGAGCAAAACAAGTAGTATCCATGAGCATTGCAGTTTGTGACACTTGTGTCACTTATCTCCTTCATACGTTTATCAGATTGGTTCTTAACACCCCAACCAGGAAGCATGATACGTATCCCAATCCGGTGGTTGAGATTTTCCCACCTCCACTTTTCACCGAATAGTGTAACCAGACTTGGATTGTTTTAGGTATCCACTGCTTCTGTCAAGATTGCAAGAGTATTGACCCGAAAGCACCCGTGTGAGAGGTGGCTAAGCTGTTGCATTTTTCGGTGGTGGTATCCAAGCCCCAGTACACGGAACGGTCTCAACTGACCGTTCCTCCTACGATTGTCTCACTGCTATCGTTTCATCATCACATCATTTTATAGCGTAATACAGTGAAGCGAACTTCACTGATCGCTGTCAAACTCATATTGCATACAAG